TTCCGACGGTTGTTGTGTTTGCGGCTTTGGAGTTGCGTTTGAAGCCACCACATAGTTAGGGTTTCTTCGGGAACCGTCTGGGCTGAGCTTTTCCTTGACAAAAGTTTCCTTTGACTGAAGTTTTGGAGGCTGAGAAATGTGTACGTTGAGATGTTTGTGACTCGGAGCCTGTGCAGATTCCTCTCGATGGCCAGAGCCGGGCGGCAGTGTGGGGCAGGGTGGCTGGGACCCCAGGGTGTGCTCCGGGGGGATGTGCATCCCGTAAATCGTGGTCCCCGTGCCACCGTGTGTTGCTCCATACGTCCTCGCCGAACCAGCGATACGGGTCACCGCAAAACGGTGTTCCTGACTGCTTCCACCAGCCGGAGACCCCATGTTGCACATCAGCACAAGCCATTCCCTGGCACCTGGGAAATTTATGCCGGCTGGTGCTTCCAGCAGCGATGCTGCTGGCTGGGGCGGCGAGGTGGGACGTCCAGCTCGGGAATAACGGGTGGATAAAAGACAAGAGCAACAAACTCAGATCCTGAAGGCAGATGCCATGCACTGTTGCTACCGGGCTCTGCGGGTTTTGCGGGGATCGCAGGGGACCTCGTGATGCTCGTTGGTTCAGCTGGGCGAAGCCGGGTCAGCGTTTGCCGCTCTCGGAAGGAGGCAGGCGCAGGGTAGTTTGCCAGGAAGGCTTTCTGAGCTCACCTCCCTCACAAACGGCGTGTTAGATGGCTGGAGATGCCCTTGGGGAACCTGCGTTCCCCGAAATGCCTTGGGGAGCATCCCTGACCCGCTCTCTAACGCAGCGACGGGGTGGGAGTCAGCAGCTCCTCCCGGGAAGGGCTGAGGTGGGTGAGCCGGGACCTTCCCCGGCGGGGCGCGGGTGCCGAGCAGCGAGAGGGAGCTGTGCTGGGGCTCCGCCGCTCGCGTTTCGGAGCTGTCTGCACCACCGAGCGCCGGTGCTGTGCAATTGCCCTTCCTGAAAATGTTACGCACGTACTCGGGCGGGGAAAGCACGGCTGCCGTTACCGTGGTGTTTGTTCTGCCTAAAGGTGAGCGATCAGAGGCAAAGCCGTGGTGAGAGGGTGACTCAGGCGGCAATTGGTGTGCGGGCTGTGGGATCGCTTCGTACGTTTTGATGCAAATGCTCTTCTCTCCTGCCCCACATAGTTGGCGTTTGCCAATTTGTTTTCTGCTCTGAACCGACCGAGCTGAGCTGCTCATCTCTCCCGGGATGGGCTTTTTGGTTGAGGCTGAGCAGGGACTGCTGCCTCTGGAACCCGGCTCCCACGAGCTGCTGCTGCCAGGGAAAGGGCCCGGCTGCGGGAATTTGGTCCTGGGATCTCCAGGTGGTTTGGGCATCTGGGTCCTTCCCATGCCAGGGGGACGTTAGGGACCCCGGTGCCTTTTGGCATTGGCGCATAGGGTCTCCCACGCTTGGAAGGAGTTCCCTTGCCGGGACGTAGCATCAGGCCGTAAGTTGCGATCCCAAACGTGGGAAGAGGACGGCCCGGTCAGCTGTGACAGTCCTAGCGCAGGCAAGAGCTCAGCATCGGTACATGCCTCCTCCCCCGTGCAGCACGCGGTCCTCACGCTGGCGGAGCAAGCGCTGGGGCCAGCGGCAGGAGCGGTCGGCGCAAAGGAGATCAGGGCTCAGCCTGCAGCTGCCCTTCTGCGGTAGCTACGCAGCCGTGGCAGCGCATAGCAGAGCCAGGGAAAGCAGCGTTGCGTTTATTTCTGTCCTGGTTTCGGCTGGGATAGAGTTAATTTT